CCTCTGTTGCCCTCTGTTGCCCTCTGTTGCCCTCGACAGCCCTCTGTTGCCCTCGACAGCCCTCTGTTGCCCTCGACAGCCCTCTGTGCCTTCGCGAATACCCTCGACAGCCCTGTAGCCCTCTATTGTCCTTACAGATCTCGACAGCCCTTATAGATCGTCTCTTTACCTTCTATTGTCCTTATAGATCCTTTTTAGATTAGACCTTAGATAGTTAATACTAGTGTTTATTAATACTTATAATTAAATACATAATTATATTATAAGAGTAGTCTAAATACCTAAGTAGTAAACCTAAGCTACAAATAATTTTAAACTAGGTTTAAGCTAGTTTTAAGCTAGTTTTAAGCTGTTTTAAGCTAGTTTTAAGCCGGTTTTCTAGCTTAAACCCTTAAATGTTTTACGCTTTATGACAAGACATAAAATTAAGCCTAACTTAAGCCTAGTTTAAGATTAGCTTAAAACTAGCTTAAAACTAGCTTAAAACTAGCTTAAAACTAGCTTAAAACAGCTTAAAACCAGCTTAAAACCAGCTTAAAACTAGTTTAAAACTATATACTCTAGGCACTACTGTATATAGTTATTTATGTTTATAAGTAATACCTATCTTTTACTTAAGTAGTAAAGACAAGTATTAACTAGTACTACGTTACTTTATAAGGCGTTATTATCTAGTTAATATACTTACTAATTCCTAACTCTATAGGCTAGACTAGCCTTTTCTAGTAGCTTACTAAGAAGGACTTAGTAAGACTATAAGTTATTATAAGCGACATAAACCTTTTGTTAGGTGTATTTCTATAGAGTAGAAGAGGCAAGAGTCGATAGACAGTCGTAGTGTATTTAAAGGTATATTACTACTTTAACTATAGACTAATCTCTAAACCCCTCTCCTTTTTCCTTTTTTCTCTTTTATTCTTATACTCTTTAACGCCTACTATTACCTTAGTTATAGTACGTAGTTACCTTATACTTAATTTCTAAGCTATTATAGTCTTACGTGTTAGTGTACCTAATATAGTATCCTCTCTTTTTAGCTTCTGTCCTTAGAAGCTTATAAGTAGCCGTTAGATTATAGAGAGGCTACGTTAGGCCTAAATATAGCCTTTAAATACCCTCTCTTTAAAATAAAGGAATAAATTAGTAAATAAATATGTATCTATATAACTAGTAGTGTTAGGAAAAAGAGAGTAGTAACGACTTTATAGTATAGTAAAGGCACGTAGCTAAACTATAAGATTTCTATTATATATTATACTTTTAGATCTTTACTTTATACCTCTTGTATTTACTTTTAGCTAAGACACCTTATAGTAAAGTACTAGTAAGTCGCTAAGTAGTCGTAAGACCCTTAATACGTAGTACTAACTATATTACTTAGGTACGCTAGTATTCCTTACCCTTTACTACTTTTAGAAATCCTTTATTACCTCTTACTAAAAGGTTAATAGTATACTAATAGTAGATAGCTATAGAGATTAAACTATATTACCTATAATCGTATTTTTTAAGTAAATATAAAAAAACACCTCCTTTGTCCTCTTTTATTTAGTCCTTTCCTTATAGTACTAAAAGGTATATAAAGACTTGTTTTTACTAGTTTATTATCTCTTTTTCTTCTTTTTACCTTATACAAATATAATACTACTATACCCTTCTTCTTTTACGACTCTTTTAATAAACTTTTAACAAACCTTAATTAAACTACTAACGACGACATAACACTAACAAAGCGTTTAGTAGCTTATAAGTAATGCCTAAACTAAATAGCTTTATAAGACTTATAAGGTACTACCTTAAAGTATAAGGATAACGACTATAAGTATTCCTTTCTAGTAAAGAGTAATAGCCTAATAGTATAGTAGCTACGTCTATAAAGTACGTCTATTATAAAAATTTAAAGAAAGAGTACATTTCTATAAGTATAACCTTTCTTAAGGCGACACTCTTACGTCGTAGCTTTATTAACGTTACTAGGTCGTTATAACCTTTTAAGCTAGAGGGATTAAACTTTAGAAAGCGATTATAAAGAAGGATAAAGTAAGTTAGCTTATCGTTTATAAGGAAGTTAAAGCTAACACGTACAGGCTATGATTTAGGGCGCCTAAACTTTAGTAAAGAAGAGCCTCTAGTATTTAAAGTCTTAGTCTATAATATTAGTAGAGAAGTAAGTTTAAAGTAATAAAGTAAAGAAGAAAGAAAAGATAAAGAGAAAGTTAGTTTATCTAGCTAAAATTACTAAGTAGCTAGAGATTTAAAACAACGTTATAATAGTAGTAAACGTAAAAGTAGATTAAAGAAACTAGATTACTAAAGACGTATTATAAGTATAACGTAACTACGTTACTATATTTAAGAAGTATATAGTGTATTTTAAGAAAGTTATAAGTATTCTTTTCTTAAAGTAAAGTTACTACTAATATAAAGGTAGTACGCCTATAATCTATAACGATTAGAGGATAGTAAAGAACCTAAAGATACTATTAAGGATAGTAATAGTAAAGAAAATAATAGTAGAAAAGATAATAATAATAATAACGTTAAAGACAAATAATATTTAAACGTAGGTTAAAGCTTGTTTACCTAGTAAAATTATGCTTTAGATCCTTTCTTTTACTAGGCTATATAATAATAAGGTTAACAGTACTTTATAAAGAGGTTAATAGCTAGGATAGCGCTTTAGGCTTCTCTTCTTTTCTTTTGTTGTTTTTTTTTTTTTTAGGCTAGATAATAATAATATTAATAAAGGCTTATAAGGGCTTTAATAGATAAGACACTAGATAGATGTTTTTAGTAATTTTTTTTCTAGATACCTAAGGTTTTAGGTATTAATACTATAAATATAAGAGTCGTACTTACTTTACTATAAGGACGCTAGTACTAATATACTTTTTTATTAGTAATCTTAATGTGTTTACTTATATTTACGTAGTAGTAGACTATCGTTAAGGTTCTATTATAGTTCTTACGAGTTTTCTAAATCATTATACTCTTTTTATTTTATAAGATAGAATCTGTTTCTTTATAAGTCTTTATAGCTAAGAATAGCTTTTACTTTAAATATTTCTTTATCTAAGACTAAGATGTTTATTAGGCTTATAAAGACTTTGCCTTCCTATACCTTATAAGGTTCTAGACTTATAATTAGAAAAGTAGGATATAGCCGTACTAATAAAAAGAAGTGTAGTCTATAAGTAAGTCTATAGTCTTTAATAACGTCTTTAATTTAGTAAGGGCTAATGTACTTATCTACGAATTTCCTAAAAGGTTAACGTTACTTTAGGTGTTTTGTTAATAAGAGTACTTAGTCTTTCTTTTTAAATAAAATCTTTT